CCTGGAAATCTGTCTTTGAAGGACTTTTCTAGACTTTGGGGTTGTTTTTTTTTTGGTTTGTTCCCCCACTTAAGGACATTGTGAGTGACCTGAGAGGCTAGGAGGAAAGGCACATTGCCTATTTCCCTTAGCTTTGACTAGCTCTGGGCTTGCTTAGTGTTCTCCTTGTTTCAATTCTTGGTGGGTTCCTGAAGAAGGGCTCTGCCTAATTCATCCTTTCTCCCTCCCTACCCTCTCAGTTAGGTATCTCCATGTTTTCCACCTTGGTGAGCAGCAGAAGATGGGGGGACAGCCCAGCCCCTGGCTCACCAGTGCCATTTGAGGTCAGGCAAAAGGGATTATTGGGCACAGTGTGCTGAGCTCTATCTCAGCCTCAGTCCTGGCCGGATGACACATTGTGCTGACACCAGCCCAGCCCTTTTTTTTAAGCTCAGATGCCCTCCGCATGTGCCGACATAAAGGAGGGGAAGCATTTGCTTCATCTGGTCTCAACACTATGTGCACGTGTTAATTCATCTGCTGCTGTTGTTTGTTCCCAGTAGGATGCTGGTCGTGGGTCTGGGGTCAACATCTAACTATTCCTGTTGGGTTATGGTCATGGGTATGGGGCCACTACCTACCAGTTCTTGTTGGGTTATGGTCATGAGTATGGGGCCATCACCTTCCATTTCCCATTGGGTTATGGTCATGGGTCTGGGGCCATCACCTTCCATTTCCCATTGGGTTATGGTCATGAGTATGGGGCTGCCACCTTCCATTTCCCATTGGGTTATGATTATGAGTATGGGGCCGCCACCTTCCATTTCCCATTGGGTTATGGTCATGAGTATGGGGCCACCACCTTCCATTTCCCATTGGGTTATGGTCATGGGTCTGGGGCCACCACCTTCCATTTCCCATTGGGTTATGGTCATGGGTCTAGGGCCACCACCTTCCATTTCTCATTGGGTTATGGTCGTGGGTCTGGGGCCACCACCTTCCATTTCCCATTGGGTTATGGTCATGAGTATGGGGCCACCACTGTGAGTTGGTTGGGTGAGGGTACCCCAAAATGGGCAACCTTTTGTTCCCGTGTCAGGGCTGGTGTTTGGTGGGAAATCCCAGCCCAGGCATCCCAGAGGAATATGGGAGAGGAGGGGGGTGTGGGTGGCAGGAAGAGCATGGGAAGACCCTTGGGGGCACAGCTCTTCAGCCACGTCGATCAGTTCAAACACTTCTGCAGTCGGGTAACGTAATTAACGCGTAGTCGTAACATCACTGGGAAAAGATCCAATTAGGGGCATTCAAAGGCCTAATCAGGAGCGGTGGTATTCCCAATTCCAGATAGCAGTGACGAGGATGCAGATAGCTCCTGACTGGATCAGATGGGAGCAACTGGGCGTGCCCACAGCCCAGCGTGCGCTCCGCTTGCTGTTTTCATTAGAAGTCACTTGATTACAGGAAAACCTTTAGCTATGTCAAAACAAAACAAGGCAAAACAAAAGATCCCCTTCCCACCTCCCCCCGCTGGTGTTTGTGAACTTGGCACCGAGACAGGGCTAAGAGCTGGAAACCTATGGAGGCTTTGGCTTCTCTGCCTCTGGGCTGCAAAAGTTGCTTTAAATTCCACCTAAATTCCCTTTTCTGAGATGAGCTAAGGAGTCTCAGTTCTTCCACGGTGAAAAAGAAACTTTTTCTTCCTCCTGCCCTCATTTTCCATTATTATATTTGTTCTTTACAGTAAGTTTGCACAATGGCCTTGGTCCTGATGGGGCCCCCGGGCAGCTGTCGTGCAGCCATAGAAAATAATAATAAACCACCGATAGCAGCGGATGGAGGGGCACTTAATAACGAAACAAGGGCATGCATGTTTCCAGCATTGAGCAGCAGCATTGTTTGTTGGGATGTGGGAGTGCCCGGAGCTCACTGGGACTCTTCTAGGCATTTAGCTTCGAAGGGATGTGTGTGCTCCGAGGACCTTGTAAAAACTGTGGTTTTAACTCAGTACAGGAATCCTAAAGAGCTGCTCAGCCTTTGGTGTCCTGGTTGTACAGCAGCCGTGATGGTCTGAAGGAGATCTGGCCACAAATTTCCCAAGATTTGGCTTCTTTGTGACACAGATTTTCCAGTATATTTTTACCTTTTTTTTTTTTTTTCCCACTAATTTCCCATGATTTGGGGTTTTGTATTGAAAAGTTTCAAAGATTTTCTTTTTTTTCCCTCCCCCCACAAATTCGCCAGGGTTTTTGTTTTTATGTTAGTTGCAGTAAGGTTCACTGCTGAGAAAGGGTCTGGTTCCAGCCATGGCATTGGTTTTCTTGTGGTAGGTGGCATGGGAACATGAGATGATCTCAAAGCAATGTCTTGGGGTATTTGAATCATAGAATGACTGAGGTTAGAGAAGAGATCAGGTGCGACTGTGAACCTATCTCCACCATGCCCACACACAGAGAATGAAGATTGGAAAAGATCTCTTAAGGTCAAGTCCAACCACTGACTCTCCCCATCTTGCCCACTCATGGAGTCATAGCAGCACTAAGATTGGAGAAGGTCTCTAAGGTCATCGAGTCCAACCATCAACCGGTCACTGCTGTACACCTGTGATCAGAGAAACATGAAGCTTGGAGAAGACCTCCAAGGCCATCCGTTCCAACTGCAGGCCCATCACCACCCTGCCCACTCACAGCAGTTTCAGGGTTGGGAAAGACCTCCAAGATCCCCAACCCCAGTCTGCCCCCCACCATGCCCACTGACCATCTCATCAATTCCCACATCTCCACAGTTCTTGGCTACCTCCGGGGCCATTCTTACCCCTCGCTATGCTCTTGTAATTTGGGGAACAAATGTCCATAAGCAGCATCACTGCATCATTTTTTCCTTCTTTCTTATGACCTCTCTCGCCCCGCTGACGCCATTGGCTTTTCCCATTCATTCGTTCAGTGGGAAACACGGGTGCCAAGAAAAGAGGGGAGCAGGGAGGTCCCAGCGGTGGTGAAAAGCAGCACCGGTGGGGCTGGCAGAGGGCCTGGGCCTGTGTGATTCCCATGGCTGCTGTAGCAGACGCCCAGCCAAGAGTGGAGCCCGTGGGCGGAAGGCGCTGTGCCGTATTTACACCGCACTGTCCAGAATCCCGGATTACCTAAGCCTTGTCCGTGAGGTCTGCTCGCCCCGTGCCATTGAAAACCCGAGTGGGATTCATTCATGAGCTCCAGCCCTCCACAGAGCTCTGTTCATTCATCGCCAGGGCGGTTGGCTTCTGCTTTCTTTTTTTTTTTTTAATGCAATTAAATACCTCTTTGTACGTCGGGCTGAGCCACTCGTTAAGGGGTCTTCTCAAACGTAAGCACAAACACGGGGTGAAAAAGGCCTTTCTGCCCCTCTCCCCCCGTCCCCCCCCGCCTCCTGAAAGGGATGCTTTTATGTTAAAGAAAATAAACAGAGGGATTTTAGCAGGTCCAACGCCTGCTGCAAAATTCCCTCCACTGCTGTAAAGCAGAACGCGTGCAAGCTGCAGGCACCAGTGGCTGCACTTACTATGGAGGGTGAAGGCAAGGGGGAGTTGGTGGGGGTTGGATTTTTATATTTATTTATTTTTACAACCTAGCTTTGCTTTCCCAGCTCTTTAAGCAAACAGCGAGTTTAAAACATCTTGAAATATCAAATACAAAATGAAAAAAATGCAAAAAAATTGAAAACAAACCCCTGGGAAGGGTGCGGCAAGGAAGGGTGGGGGGGCACAGCAGCATTTACATCACCCCGCATCATTCTGTTTTTAGGGGGGAGGGTGTGGAAAAACGCACTGCTGGGGTTATATCTCACTGCTACCCCCCCCCCTCCCACACCTTCCTTTTTGGGCCATGAGCCCCCATGACTGCCAGTGACTGCAGAACTCTGTTCCTTGCTGGCACTGAGATGAGGAAATGAGCGTTGCATGGCTGCGGCGCTGGAGCTGCGTTTTGTTGTTGTCTTTTTTTTCTTCTTGTTTTTGATTAAAAAGAAGGCTGTGCTGGAGGAGCAGCAAGAAGTCGTAGGTGAAAGACACAGAAAATGCTGAGAACAGTGACATTAAGTCTTGGGGTGGGCTGTGGGGGAAGAGGGTGCTGCTGGGTCACCCCCATGCATTCCTGCAGCATGGTTGCATTTTGGGTTTTTTGTTTTTTTTTTTAAAGTGCAATTATAGAGATGAATGGTTCCCAGGTCCCAACATGCCTGCAAGGACTGGGAGGGATTACAGAGCAGCACCGTGTGCGGATGCTGCATCAAGGAAAGGGGTATGGTGCTGCTCAGCAACCCTGGCCCCCTCCCCTGGCACTGTAACCCCACTCCAGAGGATGGAGTGAAGACAAGGGCAAAGGGAACCAAGTTTTGGGTGGCTTTTGGGGCTGTTTTTCTTAGCAGCACGCAGCTTCCGGCCTCCACCCCACTGCCTTCCACTTGGCCTGGGCTTCCCTCACCTGGCTCTATGAAAGCCCCACAGTGGGGCAGCTGAACCCAAGGGTGGTGTCCCGTGTGCTGCTTTTGGAACCACGTCTTGTTTTATCACACTGGCTCTGCACAATGGGTGGTAATTTGTTCATGGAGATGGGCTGTAGAGTGTTAGGTTGCACCCTTGGTATGCTCAGTGATCATAAAATCATCACAGAATGGTGGAGCCACAGAGTGGGGACCTCGAAGGTCACAGAACTAGAGAGTGGTTGGGTTGGAAGGGTCCTTGAAGATCACAGAACCGGAGAAGTGTTGGGTTGGAAGGGACATCGGAGATTATGGATTGATTGGGTTGGGTTGGAAGGGGTCTTAGAGACCCCCAAATTCCAACCCCTTGCCTTGAGTAGCACCATTTCCCACCAGAACAGCTTGTCCAAGGCCTCATCCATCCCGGTCATGGGCAACACCAGGGTGCTGAGGTTGTCAGGGTGTGTGTGGAGAGCATTGTGAAAAGATGGAGCTCATGACATCGCATCACTTTTGGATCAGAACGCCTCCACAGTCCTCAATTTCTCCATCTTTTTGTCTCCCTGTAGATTCCCAAGTTCTACAGGAGTCAGGGGATAACTCACACTGGTGCGTGGTGGCATACTGGGAAGAGAAGACACGCGTGGGTCGGCTGTATTCTGTCCAAGAGCCCTCCCTGGATATCTTCTATGATCTACCTCAGGGGAATGGCTTCTGCCTCGGGCAGCTCAACTCGGACAACAGAAGCCAGCTGGTGCAGAAGGTGCGCAGCAAGATCGGGTACGGCATCCAGCTCACCAAGGAGGTGGACGGCGTGTGGGTCTACAACCGCAGCAGCTACCCCATCTTCATCAAGTCGGCCACACTGGACAACCCCGACTCCAGGACGTTGCTGGTGCACAAAGTGTTCCCGGGTTTTTCCATCAAGGCTTTCGATTACGAGAAGGCGTACAGCCTGCAGAGGCCGAACGACCACGAGTTCATGCAGCAGCCGTGGACTGGATTTACCGTGCAGATCAGCTTTGTGAAGGGCTGGGGCCAGTGCTACACCAGACAGTTCATCAGCAGCTGCCCGTGCTGGTTAGAGGTTATTTTTAATAACCGATGACATGAGACGGAGCGGACTCACGACATTTATACTACTTTGCTGCTATTACTTCCTTCTGAGTGCTTGCTTTTCATGCAACCTTTTTGTTTTTGTTTCGTTTTGTTTGTTGTTTTTTTTTTGGTGTTTTTTTTTTTCCCCCCTATTTTGAGAAATAGCTTATGGAAAGATTTTCGCCTGGGTATTTTGATAAATAGATCTATTTTTTGAAAGTGCGAACGACCAATAACTCGAGAGGAGGGCGCGTGGGGCAGGGAGAGATCGCATACGATTATCATTTCCCACTTCCCAAAGGATTGTTCTATGTGATGGATGGGTCGGGAGCCACTTGCTCTTGGGCAGCGTGAGGGGATCCTTATATTTTTCACGCCTCCTAGTCCCAGTGCTGGTGGCACCCGACCAGTACCCCTCCCCAGCAGTGCTAACCCAACGTAGCCCCACCAATGGTGCACAAACTTCCCACCAGGTCTTACTCCACCCGTGTGGTTTTTGCCATTGGATTTTGCCATTGGGCTGTTGCTGTTGTTGGGTTCACCTCCCGCCCGTCCTTCCCATCCGCCCATCTTTCCGCAGCGTTTTTCCTGTCATCATGGATTGATACAAGGGGAGAAAATGGCGATGAAGAAACTGTGCGTGGCCCGTGCTTTGCGGTCGGAGCTGAGATGTGACGTAAGCCTAGGAGAAGAAACAAACAGACAAACAAACAAAAAAAGAAACAAGCAGCAAAACAAAACAAAAACAAAACAAAAAAATGGGGAATAAAAAAGTGTTGAGGATAGTTGGTCTGTCGGAACCTGTTGGATCAGGTTGCCCCAGCACCATCGTATCTGGAGACGCCGTTGTGCTTTCATTTCTTCTTGAATTCATACACACGTATGATACTTTTACACTGTTCTTAGCTCAATGAGCATGTTTAGACCTTAACATAAGCTATTTTTCTAAATACAAAGGTTTAAATGAACAAGAGAGCATTCTCATCGGAACTTTGGCATCGTAGTGCTTTGGAAAGAAAACACACACACAAAAAAAGGACTCCTTGAAAAAAACCTGAGATTTATTAAAGAAAAAAAAAATGTATTTTATGTTATATATAGATATATTATTACTTGTAAATACAAAGACGTTTTATAAGCATCATTATTTATGTATTGTGCAATGTGTATAAACGAGAAGAATAAGAAAAGATGCACTTTGCTTTAATATAAATGCAAATAACAAATGCCAAATTAAAAAAAAAAAAAAAAAAAAAAAAAAAGAAAAAAGAACACGAGATTGGTGTTTTTTTCTATGGGTGTTCTCATCCAGATGAATGTTTTTTGTTTTTTTTTTTTTCTAAAGGATTTTATGTTCCATTAAAAAAAATAAAAACGTACACTTGACCCTCGGTGCGGAGTGGATTTGTTAGAGGTGGGGAGATGCAGCAGGAGGGGTGTTGCTGTTGCTTGCCGTTTCAGGTTGAGCTGACCCCCGTGGCAGCAGCCCAGTGTTCTTCCTATGCCATCCTGTCCCTAAAATATGATGGCTTTCATGCCAGTGTATCATCTGGGTTGCTCCACAGGTCCATGGGTTTGACTGGAGCTGTGCATCACATCCAACTGGGTCACCCCCATGCATTCCTGTCCCCATGTCCTCAGCAGGAGAGCAGTTCCTTAGCTGATTGAGCTCCTGCGTTTGGTGAAGGCAAATTTCTGAGTGGAAACCACCGGCCCCGTGGAGCCTGGAGGCTTTGGAGAGGTGCAGCATCCGTGTCTTGAATCCTACTGGCCTTCACGTGGTGGACAGATGTGGTAGAGGATGAGTCTTTGTGAGCATTAAGAGCAGGTTGACCCAGTACTGCCCCTTTCTGTTCAACATTCCCCACCCAAAGGGATTTGTTGAGATACAATATTCGGTCTGCTCTGAATGGACTGTGCCTCATCTGGATTCCTTTCACTGAGCCCACCAACCAGCTTCAAAATAGCTTTGGATCATGTGGATGTACCCACCTGCCTTGCTTGGTGTGCTCTAGAGATGCCCAAGAGGGCAGACATTGGTGTATCTTCGTCTGTGGTACAGTTTGCTTCATTTTGTTTCCATTCTGTGCCATTGGACTTAAAACGCTCAATAACCTCTTGTACGTCCAGTGGTCAAACCAGCAACAATGATTTGTGTCAGAGGCTCAAGGAGAAATGTGCTGGCCCATTCCATGGTACCTCTCCCCACAAAAAGGCCCCAAAAGTGAAGGATGGAATGGTCATCATTGTGAAACTCTCACCTCCCCTGAGCTTTGGTAGCATCTACCAGCAGGAGCACGACTGTGCAGACAGCAGGTTGAGGTGTCCTCCTGGACACAGTGCTGCTGAGCTGCGACTGCAAGTGTCTCCTGGGGTTGGGAGATCCTCTGCATGTCCCATGTTGTACCTTGTCCTGTGCAGCTGCCTCTTGCAGGAGATGCGCTGCTGAGCTGGCTGGGTCTTTGGTTGGGTTTGGTTGAACTTTTTGTTTGTATCTTTGATTGGAACTTTGGCAGCACTTTTGTTTGGAACTTCGATTGGACCTTTGTTTGGTTGACAGGTTGGATGTCGTGGTGCTGGAGAATGAGCTGAAACACCCCAAATAGTCCTTCACTTTCTGGGTCCTCTGCTTAGACTAGTCTGTGAAAATATTAGACACAGCATCACTGCTGTCTGAAAGCCAAGAGATAATCAGCACAACTACAGCTTTTCAATACTTCTGCAGCTTGAGTTAAAATGTTCCAGACTTCACCTCCTGCTGTTCTAATTTTAGTCCTCTTTCAGTGAAAAAAAAGAAAAAGACAAAAAAGTAGAGGAAAATAGTGCCAGAAGGCTGCTGAACACCGGCTCATTTGCTTTCCCATCTGCTCAGCTCTAGGGCTAGGAGATGCAAAGTCAGACACAGCTGTGCAGCCCCTCTGTAGCTCCTTGCGAGCAGTGCCATGTCCTTGCTAATTCAGACGTCCCCTATGAATGAGCCCCCCAGCTCCTTGGACACCCATGACAACAGTCCAGCAATGTGGTGGTGGCCCCAGACCTCATATCATTGTGCTCTGCACAGCTTAGCCGTGGTTCCCACTCCTTCAAAATCACCTTACTCAAAGCTCCTGCACTTAAGAGGCTCAGACAGGAGCTGGCTGAGACAGACTCCAGTCCTGATCTCTCTTCCCCAACCCCCCCCTTCCCTCCCCCAAGAAAGGGATTAATCTGGAAATTTGGGATGGCTGAAATCAGTCCGTTCTGGTGAGCTGTAATCTTGCTCTGCACCGTGGCTCCAGCTTAATTGGCATTAAAATGTCCTAATGATATCCTGCACCACCGTAAATTACAGCACGATTGCGCTTTTTTCCCCTGCATTGCCAAGTAGTAATTAAGGAGTGCAATAAAGAAGGGTCAAAGCATGCTGCTTTCCGCTGATATATCATATGTGGAATCTGCTCAAACTGTCAACTGCTGATGAAAGATAGTGCCTGTGATGGGCACTGCAAGAGACAAGAGGGAAAACTCCACTATCTTGAGACCTTTGGAGCAAGTGGTTTCCATGGGGCAGAGCCGTGATCCCTGTTTTACTTGAGTGATGCTCTATATGGAACTCATTCCCCATCTGCCCTGAGGACTCCAAGGAATCCGTGGGCTCTTGTCTCACAGATTATTAACAAATTCATTGGGTGAAGGGACCCATTTATACATGCACTGGGTGAAGAGACCCATGAAAACGTCCAATGGGTGAAGGGACCCATTGAGTTGTCCATTAGGTGAAGGGACTCGTGGAGACACCTGACAGGTGAAGGTATCAGGTTGGGGACAGACCCCTGGTGTCACCAAGCCTTGTGATCCTGAGCTGAGTTTGGTCCCAGCTACATCCTGCAGGTGGCCAGATGAGAATGCCAGTATGAATGTGCTCAAAATGTGGGGAAAATCTCATTCCAGCCCCAAAGGTATTTGTCTTGCTCAAAGCTCCTACAAAACTGAGGAGCAGGGGAGTCCCAGATCCCATCACTTGACCAGTGAAGAGACATAACCCATGAACATAACCCATGGGTATAACATACCTCTTGAGGCTCATCAGCTCATTTCAGAGCCAGTATCCAGGGATGAATGGGTCAGAAAACAATCTTGGCCTCCCATCAGCAAGGCAAACTGAGGCTGAGAGCCTGAAAGAGGAGGAAAACTGCAAAGATCCCCATTGCAACCAGGTGCCCAAGCAGAAATCTGGTGTTAAGGCATTCTCTGAAGCATGGGTGACGTAAGTGAATCCAAGTTTCTTGGTTGCAATGGGAGTGAGGCAGCAATGTGTGGACAGAGTTCATGGATGTGGGGCTGTGGGCAATGAGTTGTTGGGTTCTGCTGCAGAACCAAAGGGCACAAAGCACTCATGCAATGAACCTAAGCCTCTGGGGATGTTTTGTGATGGATCTTTTGCACTGTCAGCCCTGCTGCTCCTGCACCAAAGCTCAGGGAGGGGGGGTGGTCAGGTTCTGGAGATGAATTTTTCACCTCATGTATATTCTTCCTGCAGGAAGGCAGAGCTCCAGATTGCGATCTGCTTTGTTAGGGGAAATCCATCCCCTGGTACTGCACTGCTCCTGGCTTGGGGAACTGCAGAAAACACCAACCCACGTTCACCACAGGGGTCAAAGAACCACAGCGTGGGTGACTTGGAAGGGACCTCAGAGCCCACCCAGCCCCACCTTGTACCATGGGCTGGTTGTCCCCCACCAGATCAGTCTGTTGAAGCATTGTTGATGAGTTCAGGCACAGGCAGAGGCTGACAGCGTGGTGCTGGCACTCACAGCCTGACACTTCCCTTCTGTTCTCCGCATCATTTGGGTTACAGAAACCTCTCTGCTGCTCCTGGTCTTTCTGTATGGGGCGTTGTGCCTCAGGGTCCAGTGGTGTGCTGGCAGGCGTGGGGAGCTTCTGGCGTCTCCCACTACCTTGAATGTCATCCCCTATGTCCCTACACCACAGGATCATGGAATCGTTGGGGATGGAGAGGACCACTCAGATCACCCATAAGCGAGCACCCACTGCAGGCGTTACGCTCCATCACACTCTGATCTCAGTGTCTCAATATCAGCACTGCGTCCATCAATGGCAGGGGTGCACTGCAGTGATCACAGAGCCACTGGGGCTGGAGAGGAGTTCTGAGATCCCTGTGTCCTATCATAACCATCCTCCTGTCTCCACTGACCACGTCCCCAAGCACGGGGGTGTAGGAAGCAGCGCAGGACCCATAGCATCGCCCGTCCACCTTTGGTGTGCCCTCTCCTACCCTCTGCTCCATTCCAACACAAGCTTGCTTTCAGCTCTCGTTCCTCTCAGCTGTTTTTGGACCTCATAAAGAACACTGCAAAAGCTGCTGTTAATTAACATTCCTCCAGCTGCCCCCCCCCTCCTGCTTCCCCTCCTTCAGCCTCTCTCGTTTTTGTGCCTCCCTTCAAGTGGAAGCTCTCCTGACCCCTCACTTCAGGACGTCACAGGGGTGGCACACAGGGGGGACACACGGGATGTCACGCATAGGGGTGACACACGTAGGGGCGACACACACAGGGATGGGACATCACAGGGGTGTGCACAGAGGACAGAGGCCACCCGCTGTCCCACGGTGACCCCGTGCCGGCGCCCTGCGGCGGTGCCCGTCCGTCCAGGCTCCCTTCCAGGCGCGTCATGGGACTCCCAGCAAATCCCCTGGGGCCATCTGATCCCGGGGACGCCAGCACCCAGCGCTGCCGGCGCCGCTCAGGGGTTTTCCATGGTTCAAGGTGCCAAAGTTCATTGATAACGGCGCCCGGGGGCTCGAGTGTCACCAGTGCTTGGGGTGGAAATGCAGTGCTGTCGGGATAGGATTGCTTGGAATGATATGAAACTTTGAGTTCTGCTGGTTAGGAAAATAAAACCCTGTATATACTTGGTTGCATCGCTGCTGAGGGATGTCAGCAGCTCCCATTTCACGGAGCAGATGATGATGAAACTCCATCTGCAGCCCCACGGAGACGAATGCCACATATTTCCCAGTAGTCCCGGAATGGCCATCAGATGTGTCAGAGTTAGGAGCCTCCCAGGGGACTGCTCCTCCAGTAGCCACATTCCTGGAAATGAATCTGCACACTCCCCAGAGCAAGTGACAATGGGAGTTGCTGTTGGGTCACAGAGTAGGTGACCAGTGGTGTGGTGCAGCCCCACAGACACGCTGGGAAGGGGCACATGGGGTTGGGGCCAGGGATGTGGCGGCTGAAATTGCCTCCCCTGTGGCCCTCCAGCATTTCTGCTAGCAGAAATCACAGAAAGCACAAGTTCAGAAGCAGAGTGCCCTCCCTCCTCACCTCCCTCCCCATGAACTCTCTTGAACTTGGGAAAACCAAACCAGCACTGGGTTCACATTCCGTTTGCATTATAGGTAAAGTTCAACTTCCTCCTGATTTTGGCCCAGAGGTTCCCAGAAGAAATCGGGCTCTGGGACTGCACCGGTTCCTCTTCACCTCACTCACCCTATGTCTCACCAGGCACGTGGGGCAGTAAGCATCCCAGCCATCCCATCCAACCATCAACCCATCCCCACCACCATGCCCACTCGTGGAACCACAGAGGTTGGAAAAGACCACTGTGGCTATTACATCCAACCATTTATCCATGCCCGTCGTGCCCAACCATAGAACCACGCCATCTTTCAAGTTGGAAAAGGCCTTGAAGATGACCTTGGGGCAATCAGGTGGAGAAGAGTGGGTACAGACTGAGCATGTCTCATGCCAGATCCCTTCTCTCCCTCCTTGGAGGTCTCCCAAAGCACCTGAGCTCCCTGCTCTGGGTGGCCATGGTAGGACAGTGGTGGCACCAGATGGACCAACAGCAGAAAGGCAGAAATCTCCACTGGAGGGACCGGAAGGTGTGTATGAATTGGAAAGACGTGGACCAGGGATGGCTGTCTGCCCCCAGAAAATGAATACCACAGGGGAATCTCCGCATGCAACATGATCCCAAGTGCCTTTCCCCCCCCCTAAAACATTACAATGGGTTTACCACCAGCACTGAGCATGCCTCACGCCTGTGCTTTAGCTTTAGCAGAACACAGCCTGCACCTGCGAGCCTGGGTCTGATTTCTTGCAATGCTGTAAAACACAACACCCTGGGGTAGAAGTTACCTTTGCAGTAAAACAATGCATAGGGTGAATTTCGCAACCTGCACTTTGTGTCTTTTTTTCCCCAGAGCGGTATTTTGCAGCATTTGCCCTCAAACCAGTTCTTCTTAACGCAATAGATGCAATTAGCAGCAGACAGGTTGGTGTAACCTGTCCCTGATACACCTTCGCTCCTCTCCCCCCTTCTCCTTCAACCCTCATTTACTGGAACAGAGCTCTTCTAGGAGAGTTTGAGTTTGTTGGAGCTTAAAATGTAGAAATGCTGGAAAAGTAAAGTTTCAGTTTCAGAATTGAAATCTGAGCTCTCCTTACGAGTGGGGTTGCTGGATAAAAAAGAATTCCTACAGGTTTTGCAGGACCGTGGCCTGGGCTATGGGATTTGGGAGGGATGAGCCCCAGCTATGTGTCCTGTTTGCCAGTGACCATGGAGAGGACACAGCACATGCAGAAGTTCCTCATGGAGGTCTAATGGACCTCCAGGATCCAGATTGGGTCCATCCCAACCCCACAGAACCTGGTTTTGTTGGCACCAGCTCTGGGAGAGGGACAGGGGATGCTCTCAAGGCCCACTTCCACAAACAGGAACACACCATGGGAAGGCTCTGCGTGAAGCTATTGAGAAGGGCTGTGCTAATGAAGTCCAAACACTTTGTTTAGATGTCATTGCTACAGCAACATAAAATACGCTGAAATGAGGCACTTTGGTGAAAAGCTTGGGCAATCTGGGACAGAATGGAATTCCGAAATCTCGTCTTTTTTCTTCAGAGGGACTTGGCATATTTTTGCCATTAACTCTGTGGCAGTGCTGTAACGGGTGTGAAACCGTCAAGTTGCAACCTCAGGGTAAGGTGTATCTCCATAGAATCACTGAGGATTGGAAAAGCCCTCCCAGATCCCCAAACCCAAGCCCAGCCCACCCCAACCATGCCCACTGACCATGTCCCCAAGTGCCACATCTCCACGGCTCTTGAACACCCACAGGGATGGTGGCTGCACCATCTCCCTGTGCAGTCTATGCTGCTGCATCACCACTCTTTGGAGAAGAAATTGTTCCTAATGTCCAACCTGATGGTCCTGCGGTGCAACTTGAGGCCATCACCTGGCATAAAGCTGATGCAGCGCAGACCCACTTCTGTTTTTCCCCTGCTCTACCAACACTGTAACACAACACAGAGCCTTCGGGTGAGCTTTTTGGTGGCAACTCCCACCTGGGGATTGCTCCTCCCACTGCCCCTGTTTGCTCGGAGCCCAGCGAGCTGCACGTGGTCACGTAGGCATGTTGCAAGAGGCACTGCCACTCTCACACAACAAGAATGGATCAGCGGCATCCTCCTGCCTTGGCCCGGCAGCTGATGACACAAAGCCCTCACCTCGAGTCACCCACGGCTTCCCAACCAAGGCGCACACCTCCATTGGCTCAAAAGCCCCCTCTAATTGACTCCGGCGACGTTGAGACGGGTTTTCCACAGGAAACTTCTTGGAAAAACCACAGCTTTATTTCTTTTATTATATATATATTGAGTAACAGGCAGAGCGGTGCATCGGGTCGCGATGTGCTGCGGGGTTCCCCCGCCCTATCCCCATGGCCAAAACCTACTGGGAAGGGGCACCACCGAGCAGCGTTGAGCACCCGAGTTCCAACACAAGCTGTAGGATGGATGGATGGAGCGATGTTTCACACCAGACACTGTGATTTCCTTTCTTCCCCCCTCTATCCTATGTTTGAAGCTCAACACCAAAAAATGATGGCACGTCCCAACAAAACGATGGGAAAACGTCAAGCTCTACACATTTATTACTCAGATGACGTGTTCTATAGCATACGGTGGGTCTGATGTTCTATCAAGAAGACTGCATTGCCACAAAGAGTTGTCAGCTCGTCTCTGAAATGCTGAAAACGATGAGTTTCTGTTTTCTCTAGGATGAATATCTAGTCTTTATGCTCCCCAAATCCTTTCTCCTTGTTTTTTTTTTTTTTTTTTTTTTTTTTTTTAAAGCGCTTCATTTAACAAATACGATTAAATTAAAAATGGTGCCTCTTCAAATGCAAATAAATACATTAAAAAAAAAAAAAAAAAAGAAAAGAAAGAACTGCTAGTGTGAACTTCTGCAGGACATTGCTGCTCTCTTGGCGATGGACGCGGTCCTTCGTGTTTGTTCTCCTGAAAAATACTGAGTGTCACTGGGATGGGCGAACAGCTCACACCAAGAAGAGTAAAATCAGTGTAAAGCCATGAAATACCCAGCGGGGAAATATTTCCAAGAGAGGGATGTTATAAAATAAAGCAGGAGAACTGTAAGTTCTTCTGACAAGTTTTCCTCCGAAACTGTCAATCACGCCAACTGATCAATCCCCTTTGGGGGATGAGGGGAACCGGGCAAATCACCTTGCCTTTTTTTCCCCCGTTTTTGTTCCACCTGCATACAGACAAAAGAGTTCTCCAAACGGGGCTGAACTCTCTCATGGGGAATCCAAATGAATTGGTTGTGGGCACCAACACTAAATCTCTGGCAGTTGTTTGGCAATGGGAAGGAGGGTGCTGGGGGCTGCAGTTTCGGGACATCGCCGTGGTGCCAGCCCCACTTTTGGCCAAAAGAGGGTATTCCGCACCCAAAATACAACGTTGCCCACACTTTGCCCCCACAGTGAGGGACACCAGCAGCAGAACGTAATACTGGGGGAAAAAAAAAATGACATTTTTGGTCAACTCCTAGATTCTCACGTATCAACGGAGTGAGAGATGTAGTGAGTGACCGAGCGGTCCATGGTGGGATGAACATGGATGGATTTCACACAGAAGTTCTTTGATGGGAGAAATCCCGGTGCTGGAGGGCAAATCTCCCCCTGGGATTTTCTCCTGTTTTTTTTTTTTCAAACTTTATATTTTTTTTAATTTTTTTTTTTCTCTTTAGATTTTTTATATTTTTTTTCCTTCTTTTTTCCTTCTTTTGCTCCAGTCAGAGAGCAGGGTCCAAGGGATGCTGTGCTGTGGGCTGTGGGGAGGCTGCCAGCTCAGATCCTGGTATCAGTCCTTCCATACAGGCAACCATCTCTCTGTTTCCTCAGCATTTAGGACCGCTGAAGCTCTTCTCCCCAGTTCCTCTCTCGTACTCCAGGTGTGGATCTGCAGACACACCAACAGGCAACCAACCGAACGGCTCCCAGCGCTCTGAACCGTCTAACCAAGACTCTCACTTCCTCAACACCTTCACGTCAAAAGTCTCCGCTCTTCCAGCTCCCCAGAGATCCACAGAACCACGTAATGGTTGGGTAGGAAGGGACCTTGAAGATCACAGAACCATGGCACAGATGGGTTGGAAGGAACCTCCAAGCCCACTGAATCGCAGTCTACAAACTAGGTAGGAAATGCAGCCAGCGAGAAAGCAGCAGGAAACCTGTATTTTCGGCTTCTCGTTGTTTTCCTCTTCTTTTTCCTCCCTTTTTTTGCCATATGCTTTTTGCCTTCTCTCTGCTGGTTTCCCAAGAACACCAAGTCTTCATTTCTCCCTTGCCCTGTACATGAATAGGCCTGACTATAACAGGCCTGCTCTTAAATGTATAATTACAATGATGACAGTAATTACAATAAAGCACTCTTTCAACAGAAACAACAACAACAAAAAAATTTAAAAAAAAAAAAAGGGCTACTGTTAAGTGGATGGGAGATGCTGCAGCATAGCAGCATCCCGTGTTCTGCAGAGCTCCTAGCTCAGGGCACGTGTTTTTGGGTAAATCTGCGAGGTTTCTGGCAAGAAGACTGTGGCTACGTTTCTCCAAAAGTGGCTTTTGGGCTCTTGTAAAATCCTTCTCCTGCTTCAGCATCTTCATGAAACCATTCGTGAGCGGAGGGTGAGCACTGCTGCCCCATCTCCGCGCGGATCGCAACTGTCCGTTTTGACGGTCATAAGATAAAATAGAATAAAAACACGAGAAAAAAAAAAACAAAACCCAGTGCAAATCAGAAAGCCATCCTATGTGCCCATCGAAATCCGGAGGAGACGGAGCGGAGGTGGGGGCAGAAAGCTGAAGAGAAGAGGAGGGCGAAAAATAAAATAACGAGAGCTCCGCTGCACAAAAGCCGTCAGTGATGAGTGTCTGTGTAGTGTGTGCCACGCTTTGTCCTCCCCAGACATCTGCTGTGTGCTGCCTGCTGCCAGTTGGCCGGAGCCGGGCAGGGGGACAGCGTGAAAACAATCCTGGCCCCATTGGGCTCGCTCCTCCGACTCACCGTCGTCTTTCTAAAGCCAAACAATAACCCGGCGGGACACGCCGATTTCAGAAAAGAAAACCCTACAACAAAAACACGGCAGGGAGGAGGGGTGGCACTTGGCGACGAGGCTGAAAGAAACATGCTTCTCCCTCCCCACCCCACGAACATAATTCTCGAGCATGCTGGGGTTTGTCTGCTTGGGTACATCAACTGGAATCCCGCTAAGGTGCACGTCTTCTCCTCGCCCCTTCCCACCCCACCCTGCCCTGCCCCTCAGGCCGTCAGTTTTTGGATTGTCTTGTTGTAGTACTGCGTGATGGTGGGCGTCAGCGGGTTCCAATTGTTGGCGTGCAGCTCGATGACCTCCAGCAGGAGGGAACGCGTCAGCATGGACTCAGAGGGACACAGCATCTTGTCGCGGGCCGCAGCCAGCAGCTCCGTCATCATCTCAGGCAGCTGCTCCTCCAGCAGCCGGCCGGTGCTCTGCAGCTGTCAGGAGAGAGGGGGCAACAGCGTTACGGCTTTGTTTTTGTAGAAAGGCAGTATCGTTCAGGGTGAAAAAGACCATCAGGTCCAATTGCCAACCCACCGCCACCATGCCCCAGTAGTCACACAATCAGTTAAGGCTGTAAGAGAATACTAAGATGATCCAGTCCAACCACTGAGCCACCCCCACAAAGGCCACTTAGCCGTGTTCCCAAACAGAAGCACAGAATCAGGAAGGTTGGAGAAGGCTTCCAAGAAACCCAAGCCCAATCCACCCCACCATGTCCACTGACCATGTGCCCAAGTACCACATCTCCATGGTTCTTGGACACCTCTGGGGATGGGGACTCCACCACTTCACAGGGCAGTCTGTGCCAGTGCCTTACCATTCATTCCAAGAAGAATTTTTATTATTTCCTCCTCTTGTTGAAAAACAGAAATGCTGCACTACAAGTGAGGTTACGGGAGGGAGGAGTGCATGGTTCATCTCCCACCAACTTCAAAGGCAGCACCACTGGGTGCTTTGGAAAAATCCCACCTAGAACTCGAGCTATTGTCAAAACACAGCATGTGCTGTGATGTGGTGTGCAGCCCTTTACCTGATCCTACATTTGCTGCTGATTCACAGCTGTCGTCTGCCCCGGTCACTAAGCAGGGCTCTTCTGGATGTAGAACAAATCCCTTTGCATCGCAACCAGCACTGTGTATCCAGCCTTCTGAGCATGGCCACATGCTCCTAAAGCAGCCCCAGAAACCCCAACCTCAACTTTGCAATCCCACCTGTGCAGTATAGGTACCATAATTTCCCTACAAAGCACAGCAAAGCCCTCTGAATAGCCCACCACTGATGCAGGAGGCAGAAGGGACAACATGATGTGGAGCTTCCCTACCTCCATGGAGCAGCACAGCACGGCATCCTCCTTCACATCCTGAGATTGTAACAACTGCAAAAGAGAGGAGATTGGAGATTAACCACTTCTCTTAGAGTACTGATGCTTGCTGAGAGCATGGGAGTCTCCCTGGTCCCTTCCCACCACCTTATCCTTGAAGCACGAAGGATCTCCATTCACCTTTTGGTATTTCAGTAGTGATCTTTTCAGCTGCTTCCGCACTGGAGCCAACCCCAGACCCAGCTCTGCTCTCCCAGAACTCTGCATTCCAAACACAGCCCATAGGCACAAGCAGCTTCTAAGAGCACCCCAACACGATGCTACAGAGTCAGGCCACAATGGCATGGGTCAGTGGCAAAGGGCAGCTCAGCCCATCCATCCCCAAAAACGAGGAGCTGTGAGCAAAGCTGGGTCAAAAACGCACATTTTTACAGAATCACAGAATCATAGAATGGCTTAGGTTGGAAGGGACCTCAAGGATCATAAAGCTCCAACCCCCTTGCCACGTGCAAGGCCACCAACCTCCTCTTTGCTTCTGTCTTCACTTTACCACTGTCATGCACACAGAGTCCTCATTTCAGGCTTTCTCTTAAAGCCACAGGAGACAGAGCAGAACTGTACCGGCTGATTTTTCTGCAGATAAAAACTGTGATGTGGTGCATTGCTGTGGCAGACTTAACTGATTTCATTCATCTCTGAAATTCATCAAAAAAAAGGCAAAACGTGGAAAAGTCTTTGGGCTAATTAAACCTGCCCATGAACAACACAGCTCAGTGGCAGTGAATTTGCTCCGAAGTCACACATCTTACTGAACACACTGTTCTGCTTTTCAGCCTCAGTCATCTCTTCTTCCCACTTCCATTTTATTCTGTTTCCTTTCTTTTAGATATGAACACGTTTACAGCTCCACCACCACTGGAAAACAAGAAGTAACTCGAGGAATTATAGTAGGTCTCAAAGCTGTGTCTTCGCTCTCTTCCGTTTTCAGCAGAAAGCACTCTGTTTTGAAGCTGATGTTGACAGCATCTGGACAAGCACACGGTCCCATCGGTTTGATTTCATGTTAGACAAATACCCAGCCAGGCACTGAATGCATGCAGCAGTTTCCCCAAGTTTATCTTTCCACTGAATTGTTTGGGAACAGTGGTTAAGCCCAAGCCACAAGCTCTGAGATAAGTTCTCCTAAACAGTTAACAGATTCTTTGCAAAACAACCCAAGAGATTACATTAAACCTTCCCCCAAAAAAACAACAGCAACAAAAAACTATTTCGATTAGAGATAAATATAAACAGGCAGTAGCCCAGAAGTACACTTTAGCAGAGACAGGGATGCTACCACTGCGATGTCCCTGCTGTGATGCCACCACTGAGATGTCACCGTCGGGATGCTTCCTCTGGGATGCCATCACTGGGATGTCACCATTGGGATGGCACCACTGGGATGGCACCATTGGAACGTCACTGTTGGGTTGCCACCACTGAGATGTCACCATTGGGATGTCATCATCAGGATGGCACTGTTGGGATGTCACCACTGGGATGTCACAATTGGGATGTTCCTAGCAGCTCACACAGTCAGGGCTGCACGCAAGCGCTGAGTGTGCAAACCCAAACCTGAGCAAACTGCAAGCCTGATGTGTGGCTTTTGCACAACCAGATCCTGACCCTAAGCAATGCCATTAATTGTTTGCAATCTGATTTTTATTTACTTAAAATATTTCAAGGTAAACACACTATACTTAGTAAATTATCACTCCCACGTTGGAATTATTATTTATTTCACTATTTATAACTGCTCCTCCCTGTGCTGCCCCAACCCCACTGTGTCTCACACCATTCCCACCGTCTGCTCAGCCCCACACACTTTGGGTTTACCTAGCAATCATCCCCTTGGGGCTGAGGCTGTCTGCAAGAACACTTCTCCATGCTCTTTAGCCAGTTCCCTGTATTGGGTGAAGCCGTGCAGCCAAAGCAGCAGTTGCTGCTGGAAAGCAGACAAAGAGTCTGCTCGATTTCCTAAGAGTGGGGGCCGTGTGCCAGGATCTGCCCGGCTGGTCACATAACACCCGGCCACAGTTGCGAAAGGCTTCTCACTTCTTCTGCTGGTGCTGGATCGAGAATTGTGTAGACTGGTGGGAGACTGAAGGCATCGTGCTTCCATCCCTGCAAAGCTCCAGTTCTCAACTATCTGTGCTCCACTGAGTGATGGGTAAAAAATGGCTCTGGACCCGAAATACCTTGAGGGTCTGTTGCTGGAAGTGCTGTGTGTGATTGGGATTTCCTGGGAGCACTGGGCATTATTGCTTATCAAATCTAAGGAACTCCACCGACAGCAGATTTGGGTACAGCTGTGAATATCCACCAGCAAAACAAAGTAGCAAGAGCATATGCCTTATTTCTCTCCACTCACCAAGATGGGCTCTGCAGAAGAGCTGAAGATTTTGCATCATCCAGTCCAACCTCTCTGTTAAAGCAGCATCCCCCAGGGCACATCCCACTGGGTTGTGTGTAGATGGCTTTAGATGGGGCCCTGGGCAACCTGGTCTGGTGAAGGACAACCAGCTCATGGCATGGAGTTGGAATTGGATGGGCTGTAAGGCCCCTGCCAACCCAACCTCTCCTTAGTTCTATCGTTCTAGGATCTTCCAGGTCCCTTCCAACCCAACCATCCTATGGTACTATGATTATCCCCTATTCCTTCCTCCCCTGCTCCCAAGGCTTACTCAGCATCCCTGTGCTCCCATTATCCTGGAGAGGACAAGAAGGACCCAAAACTGCACCTGGGCTTTATCACGTATCACCAGTTTCCTCCTTCCAAGTGCTGACGGACTCACCTGAATTTGTTGCAGTCCACTGGATGTAAGCCAAACTCCCTAGTACTCCAGTGCACATCCCCACAAATATTTGGGTTCATTATCCACTTTATACCAAGATAACCCACACCACAGAAGTGCTGATGCAGAGCTCTCAGGGTGCCCACACCACGAGCAAGATGGAGAACCTGCCTCACTTCTCACCATATCATGCAGGCTGGGTCATGCTCTGCAGCTCTTCCCATCAGGAGATGCATACATTACCCTCTACAGCTGCAGTGACACTTTTCCTGTAAGGCTCTGCACTAATTATTGTGTATGACAACGCTTGCAGAATGGCATAAGCACTGCTGGCCACAACCTGCCTCTTAGCATGCAATGCTTTGGGACGCTTCAGTGATGACTCCAGTGTGAAAGCAAAGAGGATTTTCTGACCTCCTGGAATGATGACCCAGAGGCACGGGGTGGCTGGGGCTTCTCTGGGAGCAGCACTGAGCAGGAGTTGGTCTGTCTGGGTGGCACGGGTTGGTGAAAACAGACTGGGGAAAAAGCGAAGTGCAAATGTGGGCACTGGGGAGGAGTAATTAACACTCCATCAGCACAGACAATTCCAGGATTCCTCCAAACAGTTCCCTGAAGAAGTATCAACTCCCCATTGCTAGGCATCAGAGGAACTTTTGGAACCAGAAGACGCAAGTAGCATCTTCTCTGATGCTGAGGTTGCCTAAGCACTAAATGAGACTGGGGGAATTCCTTTCCATTACAGAACTGATGAGATAAGGGATGCACAGGGCACACTGTCTTCCCACCCAGCCCCACTGCAGACTGAATCAGCAGCAAAGGGTGAAGCCGGACACATTTGGAGGAAACAAGAACAGCCACCCCAAAAGTTCTGCTACTCCAGCCTCTTGCCTCCAGCCTCGATACAATGAAGGTTCCAAGACCACTGCAGTTGCACAAGGTGTACCCCACACAGGAGTATCAGCCCCTTTCGGAAGATGCTGATGGCAACTCCCACTTGCTTCATTGGGAAGAGGCCACCAGGATGGGGCACTGCTGGCCCCGCAGTGAGTTAGGGACCGTATCATGCTGCATCTGAGACAGCCTGAAGGAGCTGCTTCTACTTGTCTTACAGCTTTTAGCTGAGGAGGAGACTTCTGTTCTCCTCTTACCCAACGTGGACATTTTGGGAGATGGAGGTGATTGGAGAGTAGATTGGTTTGCCTGCTGCACCCAGCAAATGACAACATTGGTTCTCCTCACTGGGCTCCCGTGGAGCTCCAACAAGAGATACTTAACAGCAAATTGCATTAAGGCCAGAGAACAAAGCCTGTGCCCAGCCGTGGGAAACTCCTCCTCCTCCTTCCCACTGCAGACAAGGGAAACCATGAAGCATCTCTCTCCCCAGATCTGGGACAGCAAAAGAGACTTCTCCAAAGATGGAAACCATGGAGACAATGACGAAGGCAATCTTGTTGCTCATCAAGTCAGACCATGCAACCCAGTGGTAGCTCTATTGGGTGGCTCCCCTTAGAAAAGAGAGATGGAAGGCATCGCCCTCACCTTGGGGACACATCCATTGGGATTGTCTGAGCAGAACCAGAGGTATATGTGCGGGTGAGGTGGAGTGGGAGAGCAACGCTGTCAGCCTCACCCTGCCTGGCTGCAGCCATAACAGCCCTGGGAGCAGAGGATGTGACCTCATCCCAAAGGGAAAGAAGTGGTGAAAGCATCGTGCTGATTGCACAGGGCCCACCCTTGGCTGCTGGACACTCGGTGCTCTGCTGGCTCTTCACGTGGTTGTGGACACAAATAGCATCACAGAACATCCTGAGCTGGAAGGGATCCATAGGACTCACCGGGTCCAATCCCAAACTCAACCCTGTGGCTGACAGTGGTGTCCCAGTGTGAGGAGGTGGGACCATCCCAGGGGATGGCACCTGCTCTCATTGCTCCTTCCACCCTTTTCCCAAGGAATGAATGGAGGCTTCCCCAGCAATCCCCTAGGGCAAGGAGACAGCGGTGGCCCCGGTTGTCCCTGGTGGCCTTGCTTCTCTAAATTTGGCTCTGCTTGCAAAGCTGTTCATAGTCCAAATCTATATCCATAATGGAAGATATAGAAGAGAGCGAACCCTGGGGTGAGCAGGGATATAGATGGGATTTTCTCTCTGGCACCAAAGCCCTTCCTTGTCTGAAACATGGCACTGCAGTTCCCACGCTCACTGGCTGTGACTGAGTCCTGCAGCTTTCCAGGAACACAAGTTCTGGTGCACAAAACATTGAGCTGAGCTCTGGGTATCACCATTTTTGTGTCTTCATCTATTCCCAAACACCAATTGCTTTACAGGGGAGACACCTCCTAGGCATCCCCCTCAACCCTGTCCTTGGCCAAAACAAGGAGCACAAATGAAAAACCGCATTTGCCGTTCTGTTTTTGTTTGCCCCCACGGTCCCAGGGGCTCAGCTCCACGACCAGCACAGCTTTGTAGGTGACATAACTAACTGTTAGTTTCTTCCTTCCTCCTCATGCCCGGCTCTTCCTCCAGGACTGATTTCTCCCTATTTTCTTGGGTCAGCCCTGGCCACGTTGGAGCTCTGAGACAGAAGGGGCGTGGGGTCAGGATCTGGACCTTTCGTTGCCTTCACTGCGCAACAGAAAAAGCCAAATTCTGCCTCGCTCTCAGAGAATGCAATCCTAAAACCCAACCTCTTATTTCACTGCCAGAGGGCTTCCAAATTCTGATGCTTTTTGAAAAGGAAAAGCCATTAAAATAAAACCCCCTCCGTGCGACAAGATGTGATTTTCTCTCCCAGCAGCACCGCCCTGCGGCTCGGCTGCAGCTGAGGGAGGTTCTTCCTCTCTTCCTCTGAAGGAGACAGTGAGAGACAGTGCCCTCCAAAGCTCAGATGTTAATTACTGCGTTGGAATACTTCTCTAAATTACACAGCATGGCCCCAGGAGATAACAGGCACTGAGAGGGGGAAGGGAGTGGACGCTGTCTGTGTGCTGCACTGCAGCTCAGATGTGGAGGCAATGAGACGGAGCAGCCCCCTCCCTGCCCTACACCTCAGGCTTGCAGGGAGTGGGGAGACAGGAGGGAAGCACTGTTCCCAGCAGTGGAGGCAGGAAACACATCATCCCCCAGTGTGGGACCCCAATGGGAACCCCCAGTGTTATGCGGACCTCCAGTGGGATCCTTCCCGTGACATGGGGACCCAATGGGATCCTCCCTCAAAACTGTGAGTCCTCAGTGAGACACCCTCAATGCCATAGGGACCCCAATGGAACCCCACACTCAAACTGGGACCCCCTCAATGGGATCACTCTCAATGGCATGTGAACCCCCCAGTAAAATCCCCCAAACTGGGGCCTCCAACGAGACCACCCATGCCCCAGTGAGACCACCCTCCATGTCATGGGGACTGCCAAAAGGACTCTCCCCCCTCAAATTGGGACCCTCAGTGGGATCATTCTTGACATGGGGTGGGACCCCAGTAGGACCCATCCAACACGGAAACCCTCTCAGTGTGGGATTCCAATAAGACTCCCTCCAGCTTGGGCCCCATCATGGCATGGAGACCTCCAGTGGGACCCTCCAGCATGGGAACATCATCACGAGATTTTTAATTAGCCCGTGATGAGCTGCTTTCTGACATGTGCTTAGAATCTGTCCCAGCAGTCCCATCCCATGCACCCATGGGTGCTGGGAGCACAGTGCTGAAACAACATGGCAGCTTCTTGGGAAATTAGAGATGGGGAAGATGCCCAGCAATGGAGAAAGGTTCAAATATGAGGATCTGATAGCCAGACTTGATGATCCTAAAGGATCTTTCTTTAATGATTCTACAATACTGGAGCTCATCAGCTTCGCACCAGGCTGTGAGAAGGCCACTGAGTGTGTCTTGGAGAGATTAGGAATGATCTGCATGGATGTGCCTCACCTCCTGGATCTATGGAGATTTACAGATGAGAGGAGAGCATGGTTGTCTACTGTGTTCATTTTAACAAGCATTTGGGTTCTGTCTCCCAGTATCCAAGTAGAGGTAGACAACCAGGTTAGTTAACCTGGCTGGATGGCTGGGGGCGGAGGGATGTAGGGCAACCATTGGGCTCACTGCAGGACCTGTCCTTTTTAGCATCCCTACTAACAACCTGGAGGAGGTGAGGAGCCCACTCTTGGAAATGACACAGAATTGCAGGGACGAGTCGACATGCCAGCCAGAGGGAGTCAGCGGGCTGGAGGAAGGAACAACAGGAACCTTAAGAAGCCAACGAGGCAAACAGCCAAGTGCTGTTCAGGAGAGGAACACGGGGGCAGGAATAGAGTTATAACAGGGCAGGAGGGAGGCAGAGCCCTGTGGGACCCCACTCCTGGAGGAACCATGTACGTCACTGCCTGCAATCTCTGGAGCTGGTTTTTCCACTTTCTTGCTTGCCTGCCATAGGCAACTGCTGAGATTCCCTGGATGTAAATCCAGCTCTGTCTGCTGCACGGCGTCATACAAACAAATACATCCCAAGCAGCGCTCGGCACCAACTCTGAGCTGGAGGCAGCCCAGCTGGCAGTGGGCTGGCAGCAAGGTGGCAGCTCCCAGCCCAGAGGCACCTCCTGCGTTGGCACCCAAACAACATCCCATTGAGGATGGGACAGAGATATGGAAGAATCCAAACCTCTTGACACTGCTCATCCCACGCTGATCCCATACAGCACAGAGCTGGGTGAGGAGCAGCTAGCCCAAAATGAGCCTCAGTGGGACAGAAGTGCTCAGAACCAGTTAACAACAGCTGGGATATACCATTACTTATCATCTCTCTGCCTGCACCAGCCACAGGGCACTCGTTAACCACACACATCCCCGTTGATGGTACATGCTTGTCCCCAGTCCTAACCCATTCTCTAAACTTTCCTGACTCAGCAGTGAAGAATAAATGTGGTTGAGCTGCAGGAACCAGAGTCCTTCTGTTGCTGGTTCCCTTGTCGCTGGAGCAGAGTGCCCCACATTGGGCACGGGACAGAGGCTGTGGAGCAGCGAGGATGTCAGCACTACCGCCTGTCATCCTTCAGGGCAATGGGGATTTAAAGAGACTGACTTGGCATTTCTGCATTAAGCTGGGACCACACGACCGCAGGGCTGGGAGACCACAGCAGGACATCCCTTTCACTGCGGACACCAAGCTCAGTGGTGGGGACAATGCCCTAAAAGCGCTCAAAGCTTCATTTTCCCAAGCTCCCTGCATTTGGTAGCTGCCATCGTTCTCTGGTTCTCATCTGTCAGAGGGGCTCTCTCTAAAAATCTCTTCTCCCCACAACCCTCAGGTGCCAACCTTGGGGCTGGGAGACCTACTTCCCTTCTCCAGTGCTATGACCCAAATTTCCTCTGCTCTGATGCACACCTGCTCTCATCCCTACTGTCCCCACGCTGCTCTCATCCTGGTGGCGCCTCACTTTGCACTGGCTCTGTAATTAGTTGTGATGTTACTAAGTTTTTATCAAGGGAAAGGAAAGGAGCTGGAGAGGAAGCTCTGCAGGGGAAGGGAAGAAACATTCCTGCTGTAGCCATCAGGAACTTTCCCCTTCCTCTTCTCACTCCCTCACTGACCTTTGGCTGAGTCTGCCAAAGCCATAAAGGAAAAGGGAAAAAAAAAATAAAAATAAAGAGAGGAACTAAAAAGCAAGAGAAGCAGGGAAGGATAGGCAGAGCAGAGACGGTATCTTAGGTTGCCTTGCCCCTGATAATGATTTATCACCAGAGGATGGGTGGATAGATGTCCTTTCCAACCCAATTGACACTATGGGTCTATGAGAACCCAGTGCTGAGCTGCCACACAGTCAAGGTCCCAGCCCTGTAGTCATGGGCCAGTCACTTTGGGGCATGATGGAGAGCTGAACAGCTCATCCACATCAGCTGAGCTACGAGGTCTTCATCTGCAGGAAATGGAACGGCTTGGACAGAGCTGCCCTCTTAGGGAACAGAGAGATTAATGTTTAAGAAACAAGCTTCTGCATGACATCTTGATACAGTTAGCAATAGCTTTTTATGGAGCTGTTCAGTAGGAAAAAATATCTGCAATATGTGAAACTCATGTCTTTAGGGTGCCACCATGCCCCTGTGTCCCCAATATGACATGAGCAATGGTGACATCACAGCAAGGGCAGACAGGAGTGTGTTGGGAACAATTCTGGCAGAAACAGGGCTGGGTTGTGTCATGGTTGCAATGGGAAACAGGAGGAACAGGAGCTCTTCCCAATGAGGTGACGCACAGCGCTGTGGGAAGAGAATTTGGGGAAGTTCTGCTGTTCTTAGAATCCCTCTCCTACCTCCTCTGCGAGACATCTGTGCCTCACTGTGATGCCCCAACCATTTCTCACTGATACACTCACTGTCTGTGAACTCTGCCCACAGTACTACTGCAAAGACAAAATGTTTATTAAGCGTTTGCATTCAGAGAAAATTTTCCATGCTAAAAGTCATTCCCAGTGATTTCTCTCCCTCACTTTCCCTTGTTCAAGATCGAGCAGTACTGGACTGACAGTGTGGGAGTAATGGCGTAAGGGAGCTTGCTCTTCTCTCTTTCCTTTCTGTCTGCCTCATCCACTCATTGGCATGAATGCCTCCAATCACAGAACAACTGAACGGTTGGCTTGGAAGGATCCTTGAAGAACACAGAAGCACAGAATCATAGAACGGTTGGGTTCAAAGGGACCTTGAACATCATCCAGTTCCAACTCCTGCAGCAGGCTGGCTGTCCCGCACCAAGGCTCCACCCAACCTGACTTTGGGCACTTTCAAGAACGGGGCATCCATCTGCCTTTTAGAAGGTTTTATAGCTCTTCTGGTGAGGATTTTGGCAATGGTGAGATGTGCCAACCTAAACACTGGGCTTGCAGTCCCAATTGTGGAGCTTTGCCAACCCTTCGAAAAAGAAGTCTTGCATGGACCATGCGGTTTTCATGCGCAAAATCACAGTGGACAGAAAAAGCCAAGTGCCCCTGGAGGCATCCATACTGCTAGAGTGAGAATAGTTCATTTGGGGAAAGCAAATCTCCAGGAATAACAGAGCAAACACAGAACTGTTAAGGTTGGAAAAGACCAGTAAGATCATCGAGTCCAACCCTAAGCCACCCCCACCATGCCCAACCCATCACTATGACATCTACAGTTCATGGGCAATCCGGCACTGCAATTCAATTGCTTGGATGAGGACAACTTCTGAAGGCATTACCTCCCTGAGGCAGGTGTAGATGGGGCACACAAGGACTCGGAAGGGCTCCCCGGTGCTGCTCCTCATGGTGCCAAAGACCTCACAGAGGAAGGTGATGAAGCCAAGCCAGCGCTCCACGTCCCGCTGCTGCAGCTCCTCCCGCATGGTGAAATCCTTCTGCAAGAGGGATGGAGACAACGGGCTGCATTAGCAAAATCTCATTGCTGGGAAGAGGCGACAGCTGATGGGATGGAGAACTGGGAGGAAATGGAAACTCAGGGTGGGGGAGGAAGGCAGACAGACTGACTCTTTGGTAACAGTGGGGAGATTGCTCAATGTGAGCACAGTGGTTGGGATTTCAACACGGTGAAGCCACCAGAAAGTAGATAGTATAGAAACAACACTGAGATCTGCAATCACAGCTCATGGTGCTGGTGGCCTCCCCTTGGATGGACATGGGGCATTTTTTTCCCAGTGCACAACCAACACTGAACAACAGCAAGCAGAAGGACCTCAAACATTAACATATGGGGAATATGATGGGTGCTGTTGGCTGCGTTGAGTGTGGTGGTCCAGATAAGCTTGCTCAACCTGTAGACATCAAGTAGAGTCCCACCTCATCCAACCCATAGACACCAACCACTCTCCCAGCTCGCTCAACCCACAGATACCAAGCAGTGTCCCAACCTGCCCAACACAAAGACACCAAGCAGTGTCCCAACTTGTCCAACCCATAGACACCAACCAGTCCCAATTCTCACAACCCATCCCAAATCCAGTGTCCCAGCACCCCCCTGGGGTCTCACAAAATTATGTGTCCAGAAGACAAAGGGAGCACAGTCTTGATAGAGAAAGGTCACCCTGCCCTGGAGCCAATGGTTGCCAGGCCCAAGGAGTATGAGAGTGCCATGATTTACAGAGCAACATCAGGAGCAAAGTAGCTCCTCCAGGCAGGGAGGAAAAAAGGCTTTGCACAAATGCAGGACCTGAAAAGGGGTGAACCTGTTGGAGATGTGTGGCAAGGAGCAAGGAGGAACATGGAAAAACAAATAAAACACTTTCTGGAGGCCCCCAGCACCACATGGGTGGCACAGGAGTGTATGCTGCTCAGAGCCACAGCCTCTGCAAGACATCCCATGTGGTACCACTTGTCTGTCTCCATAGTGACCCTGCCTTGGTATTAAAAATCAGTTGGCACTCCAGAAGGGAAGACCAAAGAGCAGGACAATTTCATTCCCAACAGTGCATTCTCAGTTTGGCTGCACAACCTCTTAACTCCAAAACTGAATAAAGAAGCTAGTATAATTTCATCTCCTTTTACACTGACTGGCTAAGACAGAGGCTCAGCTGCTCACAGGGCTCCAGCCATGCATGGGAGATCCAAAGAAGGAGCTATTTATACATTTCACTACAAAAGGAAAAAAAAATAATATTTGCATATGCAGGAAAAAACCTAGTAACACCACTGAACCACTGCTTAACCACACAGTGGTGACTCATTCCTCTCTACGCCTGTTTCTATTGGGCAATTTCCCAATGTGTCTGCATTGAAATCAAACACTGCTGGGCTGTTTCGAAGTCTCCAGAGGAGTCTGCAGAGCTCTTCCTTCCGTTGTCCTGGGGTGAAGGAGTTACTGGCCAGCTCAGGTTATCACCCCGGCGTTACCCAATGGCTTGGAGTTCCCGCTTGGCTTTCGAGTGGAACAAAAAAAAAACCCAACCAGAAATGGAGAAATGCATGCCTGACATCCCAAGAAAGACAAACCCAGCCTGATTCTGCTCATCCTCATTTCTTCATTGGGAATGTTTCCCCCAGGCCTTATGGGGACTGACCTCCCTCAATTCTATCCATGCTGCATCACTGGAGCGTGTTTATCTGCAACCCATTTTTATGTGAGTCCATCTGCGCCCAGGAAAGCACGAGGATAATTTCAGTGACAAGTCAACTCGGAACAACTTTATTTAACGTGGAAGCACCCACGTTCCTCATGTCCCAAAACCATTCTGCAGCTGAGTGATCCCTCGCATCTGAGCTGGGGACCACAGAGCGGGATGAGGGCAGTCCCCAGGGCCAGAAGGAGTGTCCTTTGGAAAAGTGTCCTTTTTCAGAGATAGAGAGAGGTAAAATAGGTAGGGAAACCTTCAGAACCGTGCTGAATCTCAATGGCATCACCACTACCCTGCCCCGTGAACTTTGTTTGCTCTGGAAATGCCTCTATTAAAAAAACACCATGGATGGGCCTGCCCCATGCTTGTGTGGTGAGGTCAGTGCAGCGAGCATGTCCTCCCTCATCAGTTTGGCTGTATTTTTAAACACACACAGTATTACTAATTTGGGGGTGCCCCAGCCTGTTGATCCGAGTGCATTTATGGGATGACCTTCCTCCTTGTGAGCTTCTGCCTGCACTGGAAACAGCAAATGCTGTAGGGCTCTCATGTCACTCAACCAAAGCCCTCATCTCTCCACGTGGATGTACCTCATGCAGTGCTGTTGTGTGATTCACAGGTATATCCCAACTGGAAGAGACCCATAGGGTTTGTGGATCAGGGTTTGTGGATCTAACCTCTGTCTCCACCCATCACTACCCAAACCCAAACCCAATGTCTGAGAGTGGGGTCTGAGTGCTCCCTGAGCACTGGTGGCTCGTGGCAGTGACCACTGCCCTGAGGAGCCTGTTCCACACCCTTTCCATAGAATCACAGAATCACTAAGGTTGGAAAAGACCTCCAAGATCCCCAACTCACCCCACCATAGCCACTGACAATGTCCCACATGCCAGATCCCCACAGTTCTGGAACAGTCCAGGGATGGCGACTCCCCACCTCCCTGTGCAGTCAATCCCTGGCCACTCTTTGGAGAAGAAATTGTTCCTAATATCCAACCTTAACCTCCCCTGGCACAACTTGAGGCCATTTTCCAAACTCCCAGTCAACAAAGCTCCATGAGATCACTTAGGACCAGAAGGAAGCCGCAGCAACCACGAGGAGAGGAGCAGAACCCCTTCTGTTTTGGTGGTCAGCAGCAGGCAGAGGAGCAGCACTGTATTTTGAGCATCAGATCTCAACTTCAAAAGCTGCAGCCCAAAGCCATCCCCGGGGACTTGACCACACTTTTTAAAGCCAGGTCCCAAATAGCTGTGCACCACCAACGCACGGTGGCTGCGTTAGAGGGCAAAACTTGACCATGGCATAAAAATGAGGGTTAATTTCAGTTCTACCACCTTCTGATGGAAACAAATCCTCTGCACTTGGGCTTGTTGCTTGGTAAACACCGGGCACTTCCTCTGGCAGCTCTGCTGTTTACTCACTGCCAAGGAGGGAGGAAATACTGAGTCAGAAATACTGCAAAAAAAGAAATACAGAACAGTGAGGTGCTGGTGATCGGTGTGACATGAAAAGCTGTGCTGAACACTTGGTGTTACTGGAAATGTGCTGCAAAGGTTGGAGCCCTGAAGGCCTCCTTGGGAAGGGGCTGAGGTAATAATAAGGTCAGGAGGAGGGATGGGGCAGATGCAGGGTTGATGCATGCAGGAGGAGGTCAGGAAAAGCCTGACAAAGCCTTGGTGGCACAGGGGATTGATCCAACTTCTCAATGCTAGAGGTCTATTTTCCAGCCTTGTGTGGGCTTCTGTCACCTCCATCACTCTGATTTCCTGGGAACAATGTGCTCATTTTCCTCTGCACAGTGCTTTGGGGTGTGTGACTGAGACATGCAAATCAGAACAATTAGTATTACTCCAACAAAAGAGCTATTGACATTTAAAGCAGATAAACCTTGTAAATTGCAGATGACACCCTGTGCCCAGCCTCGCAGGTCTGGCCTTCACCCAGCTATGAGGCACTGTTCTCCCACAGGTTTCACCACTGTGTTTCCTTGAGCTGGATCTGCACCAGGAGAGCACATTTCTTCCTCTTCCCCGTTGCTTTGGTCACTTTGGCAAGAGCAGAAGATACAACTGCTGACGTGGAGCTGGCTCCATCATCCCTACTCTGTGCATCTGTCTGGTCCTACTCCTGGGACCACCTGCCCAATCTGGGGACCTCATGATGGATTGCAGTGATGCTCCTGAGGTTCCCAGTTAATTATTAATTGGACAAGTTTAAAAGCACTCGAGGGGGAGCGGAGTAATGGATCAGCAAACAGCGAAGCGTTCCTGTTGATCTGGTTGCTGTGACAGATCTTGGAGCACTTTCTCAGTGATGCTCTGAGGTGGCTACGAGGGCGGAGTAGCCCAGTCTGGCCACAAGGAACAGCAAACACCATTTAGTGGTTGTCCTGGTATAAAAATCTTTGTTAATGAGTCTCTGAGTGCGCATGCTGGAAAACACAGTGCCCTGAGGGTCAGCAAATTCTACAACTGAGGTGTAGGAAATCTCATTTCTACCATAACACATCAGCATCTCTGCAGAGTTCCAAACCTCATATCTTATTAATGGAGGAGTTCTTTTGAAGCTTCAAGTGGGGTAAAGCTCAGAGCACAGCTGCTCTGGAAATGTATGAAAGAGAAGAAGGCACTTTAGGCACCCTGATTGCTTCATCAGGTGTCCTCCACTGCCACCCAGGCTATGTTAGCAAACATGTCCTCCTCCAGAAGCCAACACGTCATCCACTGGCACCCAGGTGATGTTGGCCAACATGTCTTCCTCCTCTGGTACCCAGGTGACGTTGGCCAACACATCCTCCTCCAGTTGCTCTCCTTGTTACTTAATTTTTAGCTTCACCCTACCGAGGCACCTCTCTGGGCTAATGCTGGATTCAGAACATGTTTACCACTGCTGCATAAAGCCCTTGCGTTTCCCATGAACCTGGACCTGACTGTGATAGCCGATCTTAATCACAAGCCCCCAAAGCCTTGCCAGTCTGAGAACAAAGATATCCAAGGTCTCTGAACTGCTCTGTTTATCCCAAGAAACTCTTCACCCAGCAGGCTGACCTGTATCAGAACCGCAGGAACACACAACAGCAATTTTCTTGGCCTTCAAATATAAAAAAAAAAACTGCAGAAAGACCTGGGAGCCCACAGGCAGACATCCAGATTCATAGGAGGACAGGTGTTCCCTTTGTCTGCCCAGAGCATGACCAAGGAGGGAAGAGGAGGAGATGGGGTTAACAGCTCTCATCCAGACATATTCGTGGCACCCAAAGTTCGTGCAACATTTCATGCCGGGACCCTTTT